ATGGAGTGAACACAAAAAATTGTTCATATGATAAGGTACACAATGAATGTAATGTAATGTTGTCAATGGGTTGGATGCCAGAAAATGGCAGCAGGCTAAAATCCGACCATAGTGGCACCATGGCAGAATATGTCTCACAAATCCACCATGGCAGAAATGTAATAACCCTGAAGTAACGATGATAAAGGAAATGGAACTAGTGAACTAAGATATGCCATTATTTAAGGGCAACGTGTACATACAAACAATGAATCCTACGAAAGAACAGCATTTTAACTAAGATCGTTATAAATGATGATGCAAAGTGTGTCATGTGTAAGAAATTTAATCGGAAAAAATTAAAATCCATCCAACACGTGGCAATTTGTAAGGCAACACAAACAAAAATTGCAATTATGTTAAAAAGACATGCGATAATCATAATAATTAAAAAACAAACTGGCAAAATAAAAGGAAATGCATTTGTTCCACTAAAAATAATATGAAAAAGATTAAGAACTACAAATAAGGGAAAGAAAGTCAATCAACAAAACATAAATAGATTTGATTTTTCATCAATCCATGACAGATCTAACAGGTACTACAAAGAAGGGAAAGAAAGCCAATCCACATAACATAAATAGATACGGGAAAACTCCGGAAAGGAGGCTACACATTCGATCAAGGGTCTATGTAATTGAGTTTTGATTTTTCATTAATCCATGACAGATCTAACAGATACTACAATTTGTCGGTCAAATATACAAACAATCTGCTTAATTATAATGTCATTAGCAATGTCCTAAATTTATTCCAAGCTTTAAGCAGATCAAGATTTTTTTAGGGCAAAAAAACTTTAAGGTTGAAAAATATTCTCCACCATCAAAGACATGAACAAGAATCACATTTTTGTTGGCACTTAAAAGTTCAATTGAGATGACAAATGAAAATCTTCACTCAAACCTAATGATAAAAATATCCCAAAATAATCACCAAAACAGCAAACACACACACACACACACACACACACAAACAATAAGCATGAAAATTTTACTAATAGCAACGATAAATTAAAAATATATCAATTAGATCTGTTTCCCTCCATGAACCATCAGATGAAGCAGATGCAGATAAACAACAAGAAGAACACAGACCTTAACGATTTTACCCTTTTTGTTGGTCTTACTAACAAAGACCCAACCTTCCGGGACATCGAATTTGGCCTGATTCTGGTTATCGCTGCCGGAAGTTGGAGATGCCATAGCCGTCGATTGGTGAGGAAAACTGAAGGTTCAGGCTTGCTCCGCGAACAGGGTTTGTAACGAGGGTTCGTGGCCCCAAAAATCAAATTTTGTAGCACCTCCATTAGCGACGGAGCCATAATCTCCACTGGATTGCTGCAATGTGTCAGCCAAAATCTGATTTTCCCACTTCGAAAGGACAAATTACAGCGAGGAGGATTTCATGGGAACTTTATTGAGCAATTAAATGAGGCGAACAAAAAAGGTTCAGCCAACAACCAAACCAGGCCCTTCGGTTGCCGGCAGGTGGTGAATTGGGGATGAGGACAAAAGATCCTCGACTCAGAGTGTGAGAATCGCTCTTATTTTTTTTCCTTTTGCCCTTCTTTTGAACTGTGGTATTGTTATGTGGCGGGAGCAGTATTCCGGAGTTATTCGGTAGCTCCGGTCGAAACACTCGAAAGTCGAGTTAGACCGGTTCACATTTGTCTTTTTATTTTTTTATATATCTACGGCCCTTCGAGCATCTCCAATGCCTCAGGGCTTGATTGTTTATGGATTAATTTACTCACTTTTATTTCAACTCAAAATTTAACTCAACTTTAACTCAATTTTAACTCAACTCCACTATCTTTAATATTATTTATATAATTAAATAATACAAACCAATCATTCTTACACATCACATCAACTTTAATTCACTATTCATCTACTCACATATTTTTAACTACCTACAATTTCCAATCATTTATCTCTTACTTTTACATCAAATCAATTTTAAACATTTTTTTTAAATATTATTTAAATATATTCTTAAAATTCCACTAACACCTAACTATACTACTTTTTCAAATTTAACTATGGTTAACCAAAATAACTCATTTTAAACAAATTATTTTATAAACAATCAAGCCCTCAATCGTCAATATTAAACTTTTGACTACATGTCAGTAAACAATTGGACTGTTAATTCATAAGAAAGCACTGTCCACAAATGAAATAATAATTTTGAATTATTTAGTACGCACTTTCATCATGCACAGTCCATATATTTATTTTAAAATATACAAAATAAAATTAAAAATACAATTATGTGTTTTTAATTGAAAAAAATGGCTGTTATATCCACAAAATAAAATAAAGAATAAAGTAGTTTAGTTTTTCTAAAGGTTGTAAGTGTAAAAAAATTAAATTTTTGTATAATAAAATCAAATAAATAATAAAAGTGAGAAAATGTGAGTAACACCTCGTTTTGAGAAAAAGAATATTAAAAATTTAATTACAGACACACAATTAATTGTTTCGAATTAGCAAATATGAAGTTTTATCTCCACCAAAAAAAAAAAAATAATAATAATAAGTAGTATAGCTTTTCAAATGTTCAAAGTGTAGTTACTAAAAAAATATTGAACTTTCTTATAATAAAAGCAAATAAATAATAAAATTGAGAAAATGTGTGTAACACCTAAAATTGAGAAAAAAAATTTAAAATTTTAATTACAGGCATCAATCTTTGTTTCGAATTAAAAGAAATTGGCTTTAATCTCCACGAAATAAAATAAACAATAGAGTAGTTTAGTTTTTTAAAATGTCGGAGGTGTGATTACGAAACAAATAATAAAAATAAATTTTTAAGTGTAACATAAAGATTAATTGTTTTGAATTTAAAACTATGCTTCGCCTCAGTGCATCACCCGGAATCCAATGGAGCGGTCGAAAGTGCCAATGGGATCATCCTTAATGGAATCTCCACAATTCAATTTTTCCTTTCTATTTTTCTATGAACTAATAAAGGGTTTCGGGGGCAGACTTTCATTCCCAAAGTAAAAAGAATCTCGACTAAAAGGAGAGGGAAAGAGGTGAGCCATAAGGCGAAGGGGCGGGAGGAACCATTCGTTCTCATGATGGAAATTGGATTGCTGGCTTTCATGCGCATTTGGGGGTTTGTTCGAACAACGTAGCTGAGTTTCAGGCGCTGCGCGTATGGGGTTGCTCTTGGCTTGGCAGCTTGGGTACCGACGGGTTCAGTGTAGGGTCGATTCAAAGCTTGTTCTTGACTGGTTATCAATTGTTGATTCCCGTTTTCATCCATGG